AAATAAGCAATTTTTGTTCAAGTATAGTGTTTAAAATTCCTTAAAATTGAATTCAGAACATCAGAGCTCTATGGCTTGGAACTCTTAAGGCTAGCAATAATAAAAGGACTTTTCTATAAGAAGCCTTTTCCCCATTTTCATTTTGCTTTGTATGATAGTAACAGATGTTTTCCAGGTAGCCATTCAGTAATCGTCAACTATGATCTAATAGCTTGCTTATATTTTATTTAAATCTCCACGTCTTTTCAGAAGTAAATTTGGAACCATGCTATCAGTTCTTATTTATAGTGATCAGTGCTTTAATACACATAAACAAAACCAACAAGGATTAAGTTCATTTTGTGATTAAACCTGAAACCATTTTATCATTGCTTTTTTTTTTTCCCCATAGGTAATGGTTATTGCCATTAATCTCTATTTAGTTCTACTAAGCTGGAAAGCCAGAGTGTGAAGTTAATGACAATTTTTTTTCATTATTTGTTTTATTTCTGTACCATGAGATCACTTTTGGTGATTAAAATACCAGGTGCAAAAATTATTTGATTTTGTATGGTACCACTGAGTGATTTTTTACTTATTAAAAATAAATTAAGAAATTTGACAGTATCTTTGTAAATCCTTTTCCATGGTTGACTCCAGAGATTCCAATTTTGCTATTCATTTTGTACATAATGTTTCTTTGGTGTTTTCTAATTTTCATGTTTTGCAATCATGGAGATATGATAATCAGTGAGTGTAGAGGAACGTTACTTCAAAGTGCCTTTGGCTCCTGGAAATTCTATTAAAACAATTGAGAAATGGTGACTGTGTGAAACCTAGAAGATCTGGTAAATCTCACACTGTTGGTTGGGATATCCAAAGTATATTCCTCTTTTTTTTTTTTTTTTTTTTAGATTTTTATTTTATTTTTAGTGGGCTTCACACCCAATATGGAGCTTGAACTCACAACCCTGAGACCCAAGAGTCACATGCTCTACCGACTGAGCCAACCAGGCACCCTTAAAGTATATTCCTTTTTAGAGTTCAAAAGTTTTGGTACTCATCAGTAATTTCCTTCCTCTAGATTGTCCCAAAGCTAGAACTTAGAAATAGATGTATATCTTTGTTTTTATTTTTTGTCTATTATAACACTCCCTGGTGATGCCAATGACAAGGCATAAAAAAGTCAGCAATGTATAGAGTCCACTATTGTATAATTAATAAAATGAAGACAGAAAATTGTTCTTCTCAGATCTGAAGGAAAAATCTGTTGACCTAATAATTAAATTATAATGAACAAAAATTAAAATTACAAAAATTCATTGTGATTGTAAGTAAATAATCATTTTGTATACAGTCAGTAGGTATGGATTTAACTATTTTATTTTCAACAAATCCAAACCAAAATCAGGAAGTTGAAATCATGGGGATTAGAGTAAGTAATTAATAGGTAATTTTCAGTGTTCATTTTTCTCTTGCCATTTCTTAGCTTTGTTGAGAAATATATATTCAAATATTCAAAATATTTTATTTTAAAGGGAAACATAATGTTTTATTCTGCATTATACACCATATATATATATATATACACACAAAAGAATATATGGAATATAAATACACAGTTTAAGGATTATTTAAAGTAAGGGCTTGTATAACCAGCTATCAAATCAATAGAACATTGAGAGCAGCCCAGAAATGTCCCTTGTAGTCCCTTCTCAATCACAACCAGCTTCCCTACACATATTCTCTGGCAATACCACTATCCTACCTTTTGTGATAATTCTTCATTTTTATTTATAGTGTTAACCACCTATTATGTACTTAAATAATATAGTTTACTTTCTGATGGTTTCTGAACTTGATGCAAACGGAATCAAACTATTTTTTTTTGTGGCTGCTGCTTTCCTTCAACATGAGAATCATCCATTTTATTTCTTATAGTCACACTTCAGTCATCATTGTTGTGTAGTTTACCTTTGCACTAATATACCATAACTTATTTATTCATTCTATTGATGTTTTTAGTTTGAGGCAATCACAGTTCCTCAATGAATATACTGTATGTATTTCCTAGTGCCACCAAGGTATATACCTAGGAATGGAATTACTTGGTCATAGGTATTCACATCTTAAATTTTATTAGACAGTAACAGAGTATTGCCTTAGCAATAGAGATATCCTGTATTTCCACACCTTGCTCGACACTGGTATTAACAGATTTTTTAAAATTTTGCCAATCTGGTGGATGTGCAGTTGTATGTTATTGAAGTTTTACTCTGTATTTCCCTAGCTACCAGTGAAATTGAGCACCTTTTTCTGCATTTGTTGGCTACTTTGACTTTCTTTTTTGCAAAGTGTTTTTTCAGTTCTTTTGCCCATTTTTCTGTTGTGTTAGTCTTTTTCCTCATTGATTTATAGAAGATCTTTATAAATCCTGTTTTTAGTTAGCTATATATTTCCAAATATCTTCTCCCACTCTGGCTTGCCTTTCCCTCTCTTTATGATGTTCTTTGCTGAAAAGAGTTTCTCAATGGTACTAAGAAGTATCAGTCTTTTAAGGTTAGTGTATTTTGTGAGTTGCTTAAGACATCGTTCTCTATCCAAGGTCGTGAAGGTACTCCTTTGTATATTGTCTTCTAAAGGCCTTAGCTTTGCCTTTCACATTTTCAGTTTTCAATTCATGAGGAATTAATTTTGTGTATGCTGAGAAGTTCCTCACCACCATTTATTGAATTAATAAGTATGTTCTTTTTTGCAGTGCCACTCTTCTGCATTACCACCCAAGTCATACATCCATTTATGTGTATATCTCTGAATTTTTTGTTTCTTCTTTTCTATCTCTGTGCTAATATGGTATTTTCATCACTGTAGCTGATGTATTGTTTTTTATATTTGGCAGAACAAGTCCTCCCAATTTATTGTTCTGTAAGAGTATCTTGGTTATTCTTAGCTCATTGTATTTTCAGTTCTCAAATTTCTAATTACAAATATGCAAATTCTGTCACTCTTGCAGTTTCCAGTTGTCTTGCTGAAATTTTCAATCTTTTATCTACCTGAACATGGAAAACATTATTATTTTATAGTGTGTGTTTAATCCCAAATCTGGAACTGTCCTGTGGGTCTGTTTTTTGTTTTGTTTTGTTTCAGCTGATAATCATTATCTTACATCCTTGTGTGTATGGTTATCTTTAATTGTATGCCAATATTATATGTGAAAAGTTGCCTTTAAAAATAACTTGATGTCCTGCATAGTATTTTCATCCTCCAGAGAGGCACTTGGCCACCAGTAACTCAAGACCAGTTCCAGAGTCAAGATTTTATGAGTTATCCATGTAACTCAGAGCTATAGACTACTACTGCTCTTACTTCCTGTTTACCCTTACTCCTACAACCCTCCAGAGTTGGGTTCAAAGTGTAGATTAGGGTTACCAGGGCCCCCATCTCTTGGCTGGCACTGGACTCTACCTTTCAATCCCTAGTCCCTTAACTCCTCAGCTTCTCAGTGGACTCTTACAAATCTGCAAAAGCTCCCAGGGCCCAAGTGATCCCAAATGAATGGTTCACTTTTATGAATTTCTACTTTCTTCCAGATATTAGTCTCACCATTCACTAATATAGCTCTCCAATGCCATCCAACATTTTTTAAATACATTTTGCCCACCTTTTCTAGATATTCTCAAGTAAGAATGTTAATTCAAATTATGTAGCCCACTTTTTATCCTCTTTATTATGTGTTAAATAAAATTTTTTGTATTGCTTCTGTATCTGGAAACATACTAAATTCTAATGATTCTTATAAATTATTTGCAAATTAATTTGGATATTCTGTATAATCTTCAAATAAGGACAGTGTTTAGTCTTTTCTAAGATCCAACATTTTATTTTTGTTAATCCTCTCTCTTGTGTGTTTGCTTTCTATCCCATTACTTTCTGCTCTTATTAATATTTTTCCTATTTTCTTTTTTCTTTTTTGCTAGTGCTGTTTCTAACTTCTTGAGCTGGATAATTACCTCATTGATTTTCAGCCTTTCAACATACGCATATAAAATTAAAAATTATAAATATCTCCATATTATATTATAAATGTAAATATCTCTGTATTATAAAATTATAAATATCCGTATTACTGTAATATAATCATATGATATTCTAATTACTGTTGTAGCCATATTCCACAAGTTTTGACACATAATATGTTTTTTTTTTTAAATATTTTATTTATTTATTTGACAGAGAGAGAGACAGCGAGAGAGGGAACACAAGCAGGGGGAGTGGGAGAGGGAGAAGCAGGCTTCCCGCCGAGCAGGGAGCCCAATGTGGGGCTCCATCCCAGGACCCTGGGATCATGACCTGAGCCGAAGGCAGACGCTTAATGAACTGAGCCACCCAGGCACCCCGACACTTAATATGGTTAATAGTTAAAATATTCTCTTTCCATTAAGAGTTCCTTTGCAACTCAGGTTTTTTAGGTGTTTTTTTCAGTGTTTCTTCATTTCTAAACATAGAGTTTGGATTTTAGGGATTCTTTTTAACACAATTTGATAATCTCTGCCTTTTAACTGAAACACTTAGGCCATGTACACTTAATGTAATTGCTGATATATTTAGGTTTAGTTCTGACATTTTATTTTATGGGGTTTGGTTTGGTTTGATTTTCTTGTTTTATTGTTTTTTGTTTTGTTTGTGTTTGTTTTTGTCTAGCCAGTTCTATGATTCCTTGTCTCTATTTTCTTGCCTTTTAAATTTTTTTTTGTGGTTTTTTTAATTCCATATATGCCACTTACTAATATTATCTCTACTCAACTCTAGACACCCTTTTGTATTCTGGAACTTTGCAAACTGCATTTCTCTTTTGTCATTTGGCTTCCTTTAGGTTCCATAGATAGGTGGCACTAGGAAGAGGACTGGAATGCCGGAGAAAGGAAAAAGAGACTTTTACCCTTGCTATTTGCTTTACGACATTGTCAGCATCACCTCAACAGTGGCTTTTCTTCCAGTAGCCTCTGGTTGGTTCTTAGCCTCTAGCTTTTCTCTGGTACTCTGTGGGGTATCTCTTCTAGGCTTCCAGGTTCTAATAATGTTACCCTCTTCCCTTTAATAGCTATGTCCCTGGCTGATGTTTTCAATTCTCCCAAAACCTGTTTAACAAATTTTTTATGTTAAACTCTTTCTTAATATACATGATATGGTTTCTCTTTGCCTAAGCTATACACACTTTTTTTCTCTTTTCTAGTTCAGTGGCTTTTGTCTTTTGATTATCCTGTATTACAGTTTGCACATTCAGATTAAGCCAGACTAAATTTTATCATTATCTTTACCTTTTGCTAATTATAGTTTCCAAAAATGGCCACGGCAATATTTCCAATCTATGCACTTATAGAATCTTGCAACCGCCTCCAAACCCCATAAAAGACCATCTATTTTCACTCTCTTTGAACCTGAACCAGAATTTATGATTGCCCTAACTAATATAACAAAATGCATCATATGTAACTACAACTTTTGAGGTTAGGTCACAAAAGGCTATGGCTTCTGCTTGGCTCTCTCTTCCTCCCTCTTGGAAATCTCACCCTTGGATTCCAGACATGATGTCACGAGGAAGCCGAAAGTAACCCGCATGGAGAAACTGAGGTCCCAACCTACAGCCAGCATCAGGTGTCCAACATGAGTAAGTAAGTTCAGATGATTCCAAGCCCCAAGCTTAATGGAGCAGAGACGAGCCATCCTTGCTGTCCTGCCAAATTCCTGACCCACAGAATCCATGAACATGGATGGTTTATGCTAGTAAGTTTTGGGGATTATTTATTATTATTTATTATTATTATGTTCTAATAACTAGAACAACTCTAATTCCCAGTTTGGCTACTATGATCACGTATTTTATTTCTGTTACGTACTTTAATTCTGTTGTCATTTACATAAATGTCTTTAGTTCTGCAAGATTGTTATTCTGTTTATGAAGTTAGTGTTTTATTTACCCATACACATATACCATCTGGGCTAAATTTCTTTCTACCTGAAAGACTTTAGAATTTCATTTTGTGAGAGTCCACTGGTGGCATACTTGCTCATGATTTCTTTGTCTGAAACTATATTTTGCCCTCATTCTGCAAAGATGGTTTTGCTGAATGTAAAATTCTAGTTTGGCCTTCATTATTTTTCATTGGAGATATTTTTCTACTCTCTTCAAACTTCCCCTATTGCTGTTGAGTCAGCCTTCAGGCTAAACTAAACATTGCAGCTTTAAAAGAAATCTCTTTATCTGCTTTCATTTTATGAAGTTTAATTATTATGTGTTTGGGTATGGATTTCTTTTATCTTGTTTGGGATTTGTTCAGCTCTTTGAATCTAGGTTTGGGTCTTTTCTTGGTTCTAAGAAAGTCTTGATTCGGGGCGCCTGGGTGGCTCAGCCATTAGGCGTCTGTCTTTGGCTCAGGTCATGATCCCAGGGTCCTGGGATCAAGCCCCGCATCAGGCTCCCTGCTCCACGGGAAGCCTGCTTCTCCCTCTCCCACTGCCCCCCGCTTGTGTTCCCTCTCTCGCTGTGTCTCTCTCTGTTAAATAAATAAAATCTTTAAAGAAAAAAAAAAAGTCTCGATACTACTCCTTCACATATTGCCTCTTTCCCCATTCTCTTCTGTGGGGATTCTCACTAAACACAGTGGACTTACTCTGCCCTCTGTGTTTAAAACCCTCTTTTCTGTATTTTCCAGTTGTTTCTGTCTCATCATGCTTTATTCTATATCATTTCTCCTGCCCATATTCTAGTTTACTTCATCTGTTTTTTATGTTACGACCATCCATTTTGTTTTTTATTTTGGTTATATTTTTCAGTCCTAGAAGTTCCGTTTGATTCTTTAAACAAAAAAAAACTGTTAGATTACCTTTTATAGTTTTCTGTCCCCTGCTGAAATTTTCTAATGTCTATTATTTAAACTATAAGGGCCATCTTATGGTCTTGGTCTGCCAGTTTTAATTTCTGCAGTTTTTGTGGCTCTTTTTCTGTTGTTTCTCCCAGCTGATTTTGTTGGTCTTTTTTTAGATTGTCCTCCTTGGCCAGTCCCTCGACTGTTTCTGTGTCCTTCATCCATTCCTTTTTATTTTATTGCACTCAACCACATTGCCTCATCATCTTCAGGAGTCTATTTTTTTAAGCATTCTATATCAAGCACTGTTTATTCTCTTAGAATGCAAGAATACACCCTTAACATTTTAAGATTGTTGCAAATTGGAGCTCTTCAGTCTCTTATTTCTTATCAGTATTTGGACTTAATCGTAAGGCCCTTGAGAATACAAGATAGATTTGATAGATCTTTGTAATTTTTGCATCAGTTAACCACTTGATATCACAGTAGATTTTAAAGGAGTAGTTTGCCTACTCGATTGTATATAGCAAACTTTATTGTATGTGATAAAAAGGCAGATTTCTGTATTAGTTATCCCCAGAAATTAACTCTCTGAGTGAGGCTTAGAATTCTGCATACTTTCAGGCATCCCATATAATTCATTAAATTGGTTTGCTAGGACTGCTATAATAACACAGACTAAGTGGCTTAAACAACAGAAATTTATTTCTCATAATTTTGGAGGCTAATCTGATCAAGATGTCAGCAGAGTTGATTTTTTCTGAGGCCTCATTGGCTTGTAGATGGTCATCTTCTCCCTCTGTCTCACATTGTCTTTCTTCTGTGTGTGTGTTCTGATTTCCTCTTCCTTTGAAGACACATCTATATATAAATTGTTGGAGCTAAGAGAACCTTAGGAATCCATTCTAACTCATTTTTTTCAGATGGGGAAACCAAAGAAGCCGAATAAAACAAAACAACTAAATAATTAGAACCAGGAGTAGAATATAAGCCATACCTTTTGATTCTTACATGATTGCAAAAGTGATTCTCAAATTTGATGACCATCAAAATCACTTCAGAAGCTTGTTTTTCAAGAAAAAAATTATGAGAAAATATTTAATTCAGTAGATCTAGTGTGGGGCTGAGGAATTAGTATTTTTAAGGAATTCTTTGTGATTATAATCAGTCTCCTACTGTGTTGTACTTGTGAAATGGGTGATTACAAACCCTTTTACTATCTTTGTAGATTAATGTTTTTTACAAAAGAAATATGGGTTGATTTTAAGCTAACAAAAAGACAACATCAGGGGAAAACGTGGAAATTGATCATTTTTATGTATTTCCAGTAAGAGAGAATGGCATAGTTTTCCTGTTAGAAAAGAGCTTCTAGTACATTTCATGTCTCTAGCATGATTTCTAGCTAGATAATTAGAATGATTTATATTTGGGCGCCTGGGTGGCTCAGTAGGTTAAGCGACTGCCTTCGGCTCAGGTCATGATCCTGGAGTCCCTGGATTGAGTCCCGCATCGGGCTCCCTGCT